TGAGAACGCTCCCAAGATGTTTGTGAGTCATCCTTTATTGTAAATGCTTCTGTCAGTTGACAATGCGCCGGCGTTGGTGGATTCGAAATTCCTGCAGTGCTTTGACTCACATGTGTGTTGTCACTTGACGATGAGAATACAACAGACATGGCTTCAAGTGGTTCTGATGGCGTATGTTTTTCTTTTTGCAGCGTAGTTAGGCTGACAATGTCTGTCGAACGACCCTGGTCCGGAACGTCAGGGTAGGGGCTGGTATTATGAGGATTCACTAGCTCGTCACGCGTGAATTCCGTCGCACGCTCGAAACCATCTGGGCCTTGTGTGTGACACGAAGCATCAAGGAATTCGGGTGGTTCAGTAAAATGTGAAGTGTTGTGGTGCAGTGAACACGTTGAAAATGCCGATTTCATTGTTCTTGGGAAAGCCGGCCTTAGGTTTAGTCTTTTGCCGAAATGGTCTAAATTCCTTTCGGTATACGGAGGCTTTACCTTGTCAGTTGCGACGTGCAAGTTACCAGTCGGTGTTCGAATGCGTGATGTTTTTTCGGAAGAGTCATATGATGGTACAATGGTGGTATATTTTCTCTGAGGTGTCGTTTGGAAAATAGGCTTACTGCGGGAAGACTTCGCGTAACTGTGATGGGTCAGTTGAAAAGCCTTCCGCTGATGAGGTATGAACAGGTCTTCATCGTATTCTTTGAAACGAGTGATCATTTCTTCTTTGATCTTTTTCCATGACTCATCGTTCTCGAAGATGTGGGTGAGGTAAAATTTGAATGCCTCACCTGAGACTAGTCAGTAAAGGTGATGACCATCTCCCGTTCCGACCATGATGCAGCGGTAGCGTGGAGCTCGAACAGGTCTAACCAGTCTTGTACGGGTCCATCGTCCGCTGCTCCGGTGTACTTGGGGATGGGAAGGTCAGTAGATGCTTCTGACATGATGCTGGTCGATGCGTAATGCTAGGCGCTTGCACGGTTGTCCATGTGTGGTCAGGGTGTCTTGCGTAGAACTGCGTCGATGCTGAGCGACTGATGAAGGGGCAGGCAGGTCTCCATCCTGTCGACTCGTGTGACGCTCATGAGGAATGGGCGACGTGGCCTGGCTCATACGCCATGTTTATTCTTCTCTGCTCTTCTTCCTTCTCTACCTCTACTAACCATCACTTGATACGTCACATATACCCTCCAGGTAATCTACAATTGTGTCACTAGCGCCAATTTGTCTCCTGTTGTTGGTAGGGCAAACTGTGACACTAAAAACAATAAAAAAATGCTGATGCTGCTATGGCAACGCTTTTTTCAATGGGAGAGGAGGAAACGCCGAGCTTCTTGTCGTCTGCTATGCGCTAGACGGGCGCGCGACTGCCTTGACTGCCTCGTGAACCGCAAACGGAAAAGAACACAGCTTACATTTTAGATGCGAAGACCTTCTTATTAAACTTCGGCGACTTTGACCATATCTATCTATCTATCTATCTATCTATCTATCTATCTATCTATCTATCTATCTATCTATCTATCTATCTATCTATCTATCTATCTATCTATCTATCTATCTATCTATCTATCTATCTATCTATCTATCTAGCCGCCTACGACTTTTAGCTCTCCTGGCCGTTTCGATAATAGTATTCATACCAAACTTGGTACGGCATAACAGGACTTCATGAAGAACATATTTAACTAGTCATAACATGAAAATCACGACTTGTATGTTATGAATGTCATGATTTACATTTTGTGGCCCTGCAGCTCTTGCGGTGGTTTCGTTCACATGGCATGTTGCAGAACTGGTATGGTATGACATGATAGCATCGCGAACAGAAGCGACAGACCCTAAGACGAAAATCATGACATGCGTGTCATGTAACAACAAGATTACAAGCCACGCTCTTGATGCGCTCGCGGCCGTTTCGCTAGCGTCACAGATACCGAATTTGGAATTACGGTACCTGAATGGATGACGAAGGTATGTGACTGGTGCAAACATGATAATAATGAGACGCGTGCAATGTAACAACATTACTACATGCCACGCTCATAATGCTCTCGCGGCCGTTTCGCTAGCTTCACTTATATCAAATTTGGTATCACGGGACGTGAATGGATGACGAAAGTATGATACTGGTGCAAATATGATAAACATGAGATGCGCGTCATGTAGGAACGTGACTACATGCAATGCTCATGATGCGCTCGGGGCCGTTTTGCTAGCTTCATATATGCCAAATTTGGTATTACGTGTCGTCAATGATGACGAAGGTATGTGGCTGGTGCAAACATGATAATCATTAGATGCGTGTCATATAAGAACGTGACTACATGCCACAGTCAAGGCGCCAATACATTTCGACGTGACGTGGTGCGCGTGCTCGCCGGCGTTCATTTCGTCGCGTCACGCCGGCTTCCTCACGCCAGGCGCCGGTCCTGCCATATACTCGCAGGCGCGCTGCGCTGCGTCGCTTTGACGCATGCGCGTTTCAGCGAGTCCGGCATCCCTCCGGTTCATAAAAGAGGGAGACGCAGTGTTGTCTGGGTAGTGCATCGGCGTGAAATGCAGCATGACGCATTTCGCATAGGTTGCCGTCGGGCCGCGCCGACGGACGCTGGTTGCGCCGGTCGCACCTGGCGTCAGACTAGAGAGTGCTCGCGTTTACTAACGTAGCGCCGCTGTGCCCAGCGTGCGCGCACGTCAACGCTACATTGGAGTATATTGGGCCCTTAATGGTGCGCTCACGACTGTTTTGTAGCTCTACATATACTAAATTCGGTATTACGTGACGTCAATGAATGACGAAATATATGACTGGTGTAAACATGATAATCCTGACACGCGTGTCATGTAAGAACATGACAACATACCACGCTCATAGCGTGCTCGCGACCGTTTCGCTAGCTCCACATATACTAAATTTGGTATCACGTGACGTCAATAGATGACGGAGGTAAACGACGAATACAAACATGACAATCATGACACGGAAGTCATGTATGACCTCATTTACCTCCACTTGATAACGTTGTGCTGATTTTAAAGTGACATACCAACCTTTCTCATTTTTTTAAAGACGATTGTCTTTCTTGGGGACCTTAGACGGAAACATTTTGGTCCGTCTGTCTGTAAATTTGTTTATGTGTTTAGAAAAAGTTGTTCACGATTTAGAGTACGACGTATTCGTCCATCCTCAATGATACTATAAACAGCATAAACGGGATCAAACCATACTCTAAACGGCCGACCCCATTCGCAGCGCCCACCAATATTGCTCAAGGTTTAGCGTTTATACTTGTGTGATTGTCAATTAAAAATAAATTACTTCGCATATCTGGGGCATCAGAACAACACGTCAAAATTCGGTATGTGTGTCTCTTTACTGAAAAAGGCACACATAAGTAGTTCTAAAGACCGTAGCGCTTATCACGCTGCGCTGACGATGCACCGCTGGCACGAAAAATGAAGGCGCTTTGCTAAGAGGGCACGTTGGTAGCACCTACCCGTTGCCTTGCATTCTACACGTTATCGCCTCCAAAACGGGCGCGAATGCCGCGCGCTTCGTTTTCCAAGATAACTGCCAGATAGCGCTCATGTCTCACGAGTGACGTGGCTTGATACGCTCGTTCGCCTCCACCTCACGCTTGAGGTATTCTAACGCAGCACCTCCAGAATATTATTCACTGATTTTCTTGCGAAGAACATCAAATAAACGTTTTGTTCACTCTCTCCAGACGCAAGGCTATCATGTTTCGACGACATTTGCAGCGTAACATGCATATACGGGGCAAAAAATTTTTTTCAGGTTGTGTTGCTTCTGTATATATTGTTTTCGACAGCTTTCGGTTGCTAATCTTCTCAGACCCTCAGTACCACAAAACATTTGTTTGGAAATATTTCTCAGCTGAATGCGCACGAGCCCGCAAGCCTTGAAGTGTGACAGTTTTGTTTGAGCGAGAAAAAGGAGTAGTCAGAAAATGTGGTTTAGTCATGTGAAGTGTGCCTTAGTCAGTCAAGTGTGGCTTTTATTAGCAAGGTATTGCAAACGATAAAACTCAATAGAGGCCACAATAGCGCAAAGCTGTACATCTCCTGCAATGAATACAAATGTTGGCATTCAACATCGGTTACAGAAACATAATAGAATTCGTGACACAATTCATCGTATACAAAATTTTGCTGCAGAATTCACAACGTTCATTGGCTGTACACAATACAATTCTCCAGAAAGAACGGCTTATAGTAACACGTTCGTGAATAATGAAATGATCATGCAGTGCAGATGACCAGCACATTGAGCCCAGCACTATACCAGCTTCTTTTAAGGGCAAAGCTCCTTAGGGTGTGGGTCTGTTCATCCCCCGATGGTGTATGTAGCCACCGGTGGTCCATACCCGAAAGAGCGGTCCTCAGAACGCCCACATGATGGCGGCACTTGTATATGATGAATACATGATGAAAAGATGTGAGATGGCTGTACTTGAAGTGTTCAATAGATAGACGGACGGACTGATGGACGCACAGATAGACAGAAGGGCGGACGGACAGACAGACAATATTTATCATTGTATATTCGATTTGCGAGAAGCTGCGTACTCGAAGCAACTTGCAAGTCATAGGTGAAATCTGTCGGCTTCTTGCTAATCACGATGCTGACGCCTCTTCGCTCGTTGTGCATCGCGATGAACTGGTAACGGGGTATCAGGAGGTTTTAATTAGGCGCTTCTTTAATAAGGACAATGCGTAGTATCTCCTCGTGTGAGCGAATAAAGGCTGCACTTTTAAACAAACCACTTGCAGTTCAATATTGCCATAGTCTAAAACAGTTAGATAGTGATGCCAGCCTGTGCTCTTGTGGAGTTGTTGCGGATATCGTGTCAGAATTCATTACGTTTTGACCGGTTGAGGCCGTAGCGTGGAGCATCACTAGCCGTGAAACAGCAGAACGTGGCAGCCCAAAAGCTGCCACATTCTCCAGGAATTGCTCAGTTTTGCAAAATCGCTTACGGTACCTCACTGCCTTGGCTAGCATGCTACCCTGGAGCTGCGAGACCATCTCGCTCACCTGGTTCATGCTCTCGCTCAAAGAAGAGAGCACCTCGCGAGTCTTCGACTTTGCTTCTCTCGCCATTTTCTTGTGCTCTCCAACAAGACGCTCGTCTTGGCGGGGCGCTCTGCATCACGGTAAGCAGCCACAGGCTCAGCCGTTTGCCTTCCAGTCAAGATGGAGGCCTCTTGCCTGCTTCTTCTAATCGCGACCATTTCTCCCATGACTTCAACAATCCTATTCCCCATCGTCCTGTTTTCACGCGATAAGTGAGCAAGCTTAACGTTCTCATGCCCTGTCGGCGAACCCCGCACTAGCTTATTTCCGGTGACGTCTCCAGCACTCGATCAGCTCAAGTTGGTTGGCTCCATGGCCTCCTGAAGGGAGGTGAGGGTCGGGTTGAGTGTCAGTTTCTGGAGTGTTCTATCGCATTTTTCCGTCGTATGCTTACCCCGTACGGCGCCTGGTAGCGGTGTCTGCAAGCTGCAGACTTTCTTTTCTGAGAAGTATACACCATCACACAAAAAATGGTAAAATGAGAAAACTATTAAACTACATATACTGCTGCTTCATCGGCCTCCGTTTCAATCAGAGACCGATGGAAACGTCGCCTAATAAACACACTTTTGGACAAGCGTACACAATGTTTCTTGTTTATTTACAGCACCCGCGAATCAATATATATGTATATAAACAACCGGCCTGCGCGGTAGGCGAAGCACATGCAGTCACAACGAAAGCTAGAAGAGCGGCCTTTGAGAGCCTTTTCGAAACACTCATTGGGTAACTACAGCAAGTACACTTGTTTGGTACCCGCTAGCGCATTATTATTAAACTTTTGGGTAGTAAGTCGGCATTCTCCATACTATTTTTCGTCATCCTCTTGAGAAGCGTAGTATTCGCTAAACACTTACTAGAAATTTTGCCAGTTGTCCATGCAGTGGCTGACGATGATGAGGAATGATGGCTGAAGTGGGTATGCGCCAGAGTCAATAGGGGAACAAGAACAAGCTTTTCTGATGGTTTGGAGCATTGGACGGCCCACTCGTTGCGCTATTCGCATTGCGCGGCGACTGGTTGTTCTTTCGCGGTTGTAAAACGCTTTATAAGTCGCATTAACGCGGTTGCTTTCCTGACATCAAGCCTGCCTAAGGCAAGTTGGACAACAAGTCACAAGCACCGGTGTATCTCAGTAATAGAGTACCGGGCTGGCACCCAGCGGACCCTGGCTCGAGCCCCACTGTGCCATTGGTGATAGGTCATGCCTGCCCAAGTTAAGTTTAACAAGTTGTAAGCATCGGCGTAACTCAGTGGCAGTATATTGGGCTGGCACGCAGCGGACCCGGGTTCGAGCTCCACTTCTCATTGGTGCAAGGTTTTCTTTTCTAATTTCGCGCGATGTGGCTACGAACACCGGCGGCGGCAGCGATGGACAACTACTGCACGTGACCCGAAAAGAGATCTCATAACAGCTTTTGCTGTAATATTCCCCATTTGGATGCCATGGGAAAGTGTGATTTAATTATACCTACCATTGCTGCTATGCTGTATTAGTGAAAAAGAGAGTGACTATCAGGGTTGACAAGTCGTAGGATAAATCCATACTTGTTGGGTACTTTCAAAATTTTTCGGCCAACTTCGGCTAGTAGGGTTGTGACGCAGGGCAATTTCAACATTTCGCTCATCATTGATCAGTGGGAAATGTAAGATATTCACGCGAAATATCATAAGGTAGCATTCCTGAAGAGATCCGAATTGGAACGGTCTTACTTCCAATGTCACTAACACAAAAGACGAAAGATAGTACACCAGACACGCTTGTGCTTAACTTGTTTCTTTTTCTCGGAATATGTTTCTCCCTCCTGTCGTCTCTCACCTGTTCGTAGCGTGGAGGGTCGACATTTAAATTTTGTGATGGTGCTCAGCTTCCTACACGCTTTCGGCCTGCACTCCGAGAAGGAGTATATGGATGTCCTGCGCGCCGGCCTTTCGCGACCCTGCGTCCTCCATCGAAGGACCCCGGCGGAGAAGTTTGTGAATGCATTCAACGCGTGGATAGGCCGGGTCTTGGATTCGAATATGGATATGCAGATAATACTCGATCACTACGCGTGCGCTTCCTACGTGGTAGACTATGTCAATAAGTCCGACCGCGGAATATCCAACCTCAAACACACCGTTGCCGAGATCCTCAAAACGAATCCCAACGACGACATCGAAGCCGGGATCCGCAAGCTTCGTGTGGACATCCTTAAAGGAATTGAAATGTCGGCACAGGAGGTGGCCTGGTTTCTGCTCAAACAGGAAATGTCGCACAAGAGCCGGGAGGTGGTGTACGTCCCCACGTGCTACCCCAAAGAACGGGTGCACGTACGCAAAACGCGTGCCGAGTTGGAGGCGCTCCTTCCGGGCTCCACCGACGTCTGGAAAGCGAACCTCGTGCAAAAGTACGAGGCCAGGCCGCCTACCCTCAACGACGTTGATCGAGGTAAAACGAAAAGAATACAACCCGGCGGATGACGATGCACTGGTCCAAGAAATGGTGGAGGTCCACTACGCCGAGATGCTGCGGCTCAGGCGAGAGAGAGAGAGGAGGATGAAGGAAGAACAATGCAAGAAGAAGAAGAATGTAATGAAGATGACGGGTGCGCGCGGGTAAAAATCCCCGAACGACGAGATGCAGATGCTAGTATGTACGCGGACGTGCTGCCTAACGAGCGTCTGCTCCGACTGCTCAAGGAGGTCAGTACGCCGTGTGCTGCGGTACGCAAACGGCGCGGAATCATGGAACGAGAAGAGTACGTCTCGATGATGCGCAGCACCAACCCCGAGCAGTACGAGTTGCTGCGCGAGATTCTGCACCGTCAGACCACGCAGGGGCAGCCTCCGCTGCGGGTCTTCTTCACGGGACTCGCGGGTTGTGGCAAGACCTTCGTGCTCAAGCTCGCCATGGACGTGTATAACCGCTGTGCGGACTGCTGCGGTGCCGTTGGCTGAGAAGACGGCTCCTCCTCATCCGTCCCTTCCGTCTACAACGCGTACGTGATCTGCGCCAGTACGGGAAAGGCCGCCGTTGCTGTGGGTGGAACCACCGTCCACAGTGCCTTCAAACTCATGCGGGCTGCCCGTGGAAACCGACAGGACACCCGCCTCGGAGTGGGGGGACGGTGGACTCCGACCTAGTGACCTGAACACCTTCCGGTGTGCCTTCCGCAGAGTCAAGTGCGTCATCATAGACGAAGTCAGTATGATGTCCGCCGACCAACTCAAACTGGTTGATTGCCGTCTGCGCCAGATCACGCAGCGACTCGCCGAACCCTTAGGTGGACTGGACGTCATCCTCTGCGGGGACCTGCGGCAGTTGCCGCCCGTGCGTGCCAGCGAGATCTTCAAGCGGCCCCGCAGTGCTGATGGTCTCCTTGGATTCAGCACTGTCACCTGGCATCATCTCGAATACTTCCCGCTCGTGAGAGTCGTGCGCCAGTCCGACGTCACCTTCTCCGCGGTCCTCACAAAGATTGGGGACGGCCACGCGCTCGAGCCCGAAGAAGTAAAGCTTCTCGAATACAGGTTCGTAACGGTCGAGGAAGCCGCCGAGCGCGCGCCCTCGGCCGTGCGCATCTTCTACTCGAACGCCGATGTCACGCATTTCAACGAGACCGTGGCCCGTTCGCAGGACGACTTCGTGGTGCTTCGCGCGCGTGATCGGTACCTCGGCAGTAAGACGCCGCATCTGCCCGAGAATGCCAAGCGCAGGGTTGCCCGCATGGTTCCCAGCAAGTTTGCAAATCTACCCGGGGAAGTCATGGCCGTGAATGGCAAGCCCTACATGATGACTCATAACATCGATCTCGTGGATGGTCTGGTCAACGGTGCGGTTGGAGTCTTGCGCCTGTGTGAGCTCGCCGGTCCGTTGCCCGATGATAGAGATGGAGTGGATGAAGAAGGAGAAGGAGACGAGGATGAAGAGACGCGCGTGTGGCGACTGTGACTCGAGTTCGATGTGCCCGGTACCGGAAAGCTCACGCGTGCGCGCGCCGCTCGGGCCGTTCACGAGGCCCGTTCCAACGGCTACGACGTGACCAGCGAGAACTGGATACCCATCGAGATGCAGTCGGCCACCATAACGGTAGATCGAAAGGCCGGCATAGCTTGTAAACGGACGCAGTTCCCCCTTGTCCAGGCCAGCGCCATCACCGTGCATAAATCTCAGGAGGGAACCTACGCCTCGGTCGTGTACGACTACTCCAAGACGCACTCGCAGAAGCTCGTCTACGTTGCGCTCTCTCGGTGTACCAACCTCAACGGACCATACTTCACCAACGCTGAGGGAGACCACACCTTCTACCACAAGCAAGACAACCCCAACAAACCCATGCTCGATGAGTTTCGGAGGCTCGAGAATCACCGTCTCGTCACCGTCACGCAGCGCTACCTCTCCGCTCTGAGGAACCAGCATTTCCGCAGGGTGTGCGAGGGTGGCTGTAGGGAGTTCACGCTCGCGCTCCTAAACGTCCGCTCTCTCTCGGCGCATGCACTGGACGTTGCCAAAGACCCTGTACTCTCCAGAGTTGATCTCCTGTGCCTCACGGAGACCTGGAACCGCTCCTCCGGTGACTGCGCTGCCGATGTCTCCCTGAGTGGCTACGATAGCGTGACCCGGGCCCTCGCCGAGAGAAGGGCTGGTGGAGTGGACGTCTTCCTAAAGCGCTACCGGCCCTTCAGTGAAGAGCTCAGGCGACAGCAGGACCGGATCCAACTCCTGGTCTTACAGCGTGCCGACCTCGCTCCTGATGCATCGCCGCGAACGTGTCCCACTGACGACCTGTGCTCCTTCGCCAGGAGTGGAAGCCGGGGCGAGTACTGTGGCGTGTGCTTGGTTGGACACGTCTTCATCGTATTCTTTGAAACGAGTGATCATTTCTTCTTTGATCTTTTTCCATGACTCATCGTTCTCGAAGATGTGGGTGAGGTAAAATTTGAATGCCTCACCTGAGACTAGTCAGTAAAGGTGATGACCATCTCCCGTTCCGACCATGATGCAGCGGTAGCGTGGAGCTCGAACAGGTCTAACCAGTCTTGTACGGGTCCATCGTCCGCTGCTCCGGTGTACTTGGGGATGGGAAGGTCAGTAGATGCTTCTGACATGATGCTGGTCGATGCGTAATGCTAGGCGCTTGCACGGTTGTCCATGTGTGGTCAGGGTGTCTTGCGTAGAACTGCGTCGATGCTGAGCGACTGATGAAGGGGCAGGCAGGTCTCCATCCTGTCGACTCGTGTGACGCTCATGAGGAATGGGCGACGTGGCCTGGCTCATACGCCATGTTTATTCTTCTCTGCTCTTCTTCCTTCTCTACCTCTACTAACCATCACTTGATACGTCACATATACCCTCCAGGTAATCTACAATTGTGTCACTAGCGCCAATTTGTCTCCTGTTGTTTGGTAGGGCAAACTGTGACACTAAAAACAATAAAAAAATGCTGATGCTGCTATGGCAACGCTTTTTTCAATGGGAGAGGAGGAAACGCCGAGCTTCTTGTCGTCTGCTATGCGCTAGACGGGCGCGCGACTGCCTTGACTGCCTCGTGAACCGCAAACGGAAAAGAACACAGCTTACATTTTAGATGCGAAGACCTTCTTATTAAACTTCGGCGACTTTGACCATATCTATCTATCTATCTATCTATCTATCTATCTATCTATCTATCTATCTATCTATCTATCTATCTATCTATCTATCTATCTATCTATCTATCTATCTATCTATCTATCTATCTATCTATCTATCTATCTAGCCGCCTACGACTTTTAGCTCTCCTGGCCGTTTCGATAATAGTATTCATACCAAACTTGGTACGGCATAACAGGACTTCATGAAGAACATATTTAACTAGTCATAACATGAAAATCACGACTTGTATGTTATGAATGTCATGATTTACATTTTGTGGCCCTGCAGCTCTTGCGGTGGTTTCGTTCACATGGCATGTTGCAGAACTGGTATGGTATGACATGATAGCATCGCGAACAGAAGCGACAGACCCTAAGACGAAAATCATGACATGCGTGTCATGTAACAACAAGATTACAAGCCACGCTCTTGATGCGCTCGCGGCCGTTTCGCTAGCGTCACAGATACCGAATTTGGAATTACGGTACCTGAATGGATGACGAAGGTATGTGACTGGTGCAAACATGATAATAATGAGACGCGTGCAATGTAACAACATTACTACATGCCACGCTCATAATGCTCTCGCGGCCGTTTCGCTAGCTTCACTTATATCAAATTTGGTATCACGGGACGTGAATGGATGACGAAAGTATGATACTGGTGCAAATATGATAAACATGAGATGCGCGTCATGTAGGAACGTGACTACATGCAATGCTCATGATGCGCTCGGGGCCGTTTTGCTAGCTTCATATATGCCAAATTTGGTATTACGTGTCGTCAATGATGACGAAGGTATGTGGCTGGTGCAAACATGATAATCATTAGATGCGTGTCATATAAGAACGTGACTACATGCCACAGTCAAGGCGCCAATACATTTCGACGTGACGTGGTGCGCGTGCTCGCCGGCGTTCATTTCGTCGCGTCACGCCGGCTTCCTCACGCCAGGCGCCGGTCCTGCCATATACTCGCAGGCGCGCTGCGCTGCGTCGCTTTGACGCATGCGCGTTTCAGCGAGTCCGGCATCCCTCCGGTTCATAAAAGAGGGAGACGCAGTGTTGTCTGGGTAGTGCATCGGCGTGAAATGCAGCATGACGCATTTCGCATAGGTTGCCGTCGGGCCGCGCCGACGGACGCTGGTTGCGCCGGTCGCACCTGGCGTCAGACTAGAGAGTGCTCGCGTTTACTAACGTAGCGCCGCTGTGCCCAGCGTGCGCGCACGTCAACGCTACATTGGAGTATATTGGGCCCTTAATGGTGCGCTCACGACTGTTTTGTAGCTCTACATATACTAAATTCGGTATTACGTGACGTCAATGAATGACGAAATATATGACTGGTGTAAACATGATAATCCTGACACGCGTGTCATGTAAGAACATGACAACATACCACGCTCATAGCGTGCTCGCGACCGTTTCGCTAGCTCCACATATACTAAATTTGGTATCACGTGTCGTGAATAGATGAAGAAGGTAAGCGACAAACACAAACATGACAATCATGGGCCGGAAGTCATGTACGGCCTTATTTACCCCCACTTGATAACGTTGTGCTGATTTTAAAGTGACATACCAACCTTTCTCATTTTTTTTTAAGACGATTGTGTTTCTTGGGGACCATAGATGCAAACATTTTGGTCTGTCTGTCTGTAAATTTGTTTGTGTGTTTAGAGAAAGTTGTTAACGATTTAGAGTACGACGTATTCTACTATTTGTCCGTCCATCCTTAATGATACTATAAACAGATACGTGATCGAAGGATACTCTAAACGGCCGACCCCATTCGCAGCGCCCACCAATATTGCTCAAGGTTTAGCGTTTATACTTGTGCGATTGTCAATTAAAAATCATTTACTGCGCATATCTGAGGCATCAGAACAACACGTCGAAATTCGGTATGTGTGTCTTTTTACTGAAAAAGGCACACATAAGTAGTTCTAAAGACCGTAGCGCTTATCACGCTGCGCTGACGATGCACCGCTGGCACGAAAAATGAAGGCGCTTTGCTAAGAGGGCACGTTGGTAGCACCTACCCGTTGCCTTGCATTCTACACGTTATCGCCTCCAAAACGGGCGCGAATGCCGCGCGCTTCGTTTTCCAAGATAACTGCCAGATAGCGCTCATGTCTCACGAGTGACGTGGCTTGATACGCTCGTTCGCCTCCACCTCACGCTTGAGGTATTCTAACGCAGCACCTCCAGAATATTATTCACTGATTTTCTTGCGAAGAACATCAAATAAACGTTTTGTTCACTCTCTCCAGACGCAAGGCTATCATGTTTCGACGACATTTGCAGCGTAACATGCATATACGGGGCAAAAAATTTTTTTCAGGTTGTGTTGCTTCTGTATATATTGTTTTCGACAGCTTTCGGTTGCTAATCTTCTCAGACCCTCAGTACCACAAAACATTTGTTTGGAAATATTTCTCAGCTGAATGCGCACGAGCCCGCAAGCCTTGAAGTGTGACAGTTTTGTTTGAGCGAGAAAAAGGAGTAGTCAGAAAATGTGGTTTAGTCATGTGAAGTGTGCCTTAGTCAGTCAAGTGTGGCTTTTATTAGCAAGGTATTGCAAACGATAAAACTCAATAGAGGCCACAATAGCGCAAAGCTGTACATCTCCTGCAATGAATACAAATGTTGGCATTCAACATCGGTTACAGAAACATAATAGAATTCGTGACACAATTCATCGTATACAAAATTTTGCTGCAGAATTCACAACGTTCATTGGCTGTACACAATACAATTCTCCAGAAAGAACGGCTTATAGTAACACGTTCGTGAATAATGAAATGATCATGCAGTGCAGATGACCAGCACATTGAGCCCAGCACTATACCAGCTTCTTTTAAGGGCAAAGCTCCTTAGGGTGTGGGTCTGTTCATCCCCCGATGGTGTATGTAGCCACCGGTGGTCCATACCCGAAAGAGCGGTCCTCAGAACGCCCACATGATGGCGGCACTTGTATATGATGAATACATGATGAAAAGATGTGAGATGGCTGTACTTGAAGTGTTCAATAGATAGACGGACGGACTGATGGACGCACAGATAGACAGAAGGGCGGACGGACAGACAGACAATATTTATCATTGTATATTCGATTTGCGAGAAGCTGCGTACTCGAAGCAACTTGCAAGTCATAGGTGAAATCTGTCGGCTTCTTGCTAATCACGATGCTGACGCCTCTTCGCTCGTTGTGCATCGCGATGAACTGGTAACGGGGTATCAGGAGGTTTTAATTAGGCGCTTCTTTAATAAGGACAATGCGTAGTATCTCCTCGTGTGAGCGAATAAAGGCTGCAC